GTGTGTGTGTGTGTGTGTGTGTGTGTGTGTGGTGTGTGTGTGTGGGGGGGGAGAGTGGGATGTAGAACAAGGTGTTGTGGCTTTTTGGTTATGGTACAATAGCTTTACAAGAATCAGAACCACCTTCTTTTCTGCTTCAATAAATGCAAATAATTTGTTATATGAAAAATTGCTGGTGCAAATAAAATGTTGCCAAACTGCCTCAATGCAGATGGGAAACTGCCTGGTTTTATATGCAATAGTGTTCATGATCAACACAAGACTAAAACACTTTGGTTCTCTCTTTGGATTAGGGTTAGCCTGGTAAAAACCAGACCCTTGTCCTTCACTTTGCTTCGTACAGATGGTCTGGACTCTCAGCTATGGAGAAGTGATTCTTGTTGGAGGCGTGGCCTCTGCTGCAGTTTAAAATGACTGGATCGGTTGGCCGCGACATATGTGTGCCAGCTCCACTGTGAAGGAGGCTAAGCTAAGAAGCTAATCGGAAATCTCGTGTGCTGTAAACAACCCTACTGAGAGGAGAGAAAAGTACCAAGCAGAACGAGACGACTGTAAATCAGAGCTGCTGCTTTGTCAGACAAATTTAATTTAATTAGGAAGCCTTATCAACATGGACTGGCTTCATTCACTTCCTCCACTGCCGTATGCTAAAATAATGAATAAAAATGAATAAAAATTAAATGCTCCCAAAGAAATCCTTCACTATGGAAGAAATCCCAGATGGAGCAGTGAAGGGAAACTAGAATTGAGCAGAGCTGTGTAGGAAGGCAATGGCCAGGCTAGGTTAGGGTTCCTCTGTCCTGATTTGTCCTTGACTTTATGATCTGCAACAACAGAAACTTTGCAGGAAACTTGTGGAAACACCTGAATTGAGTCAGACAAGCAAAACACAAACTAGAACTGAAAACAAAAACAAAGCCTGCTAAAGAAAGTCCTGGAGATAAACTGTAAAGATGTGGATATGTCACATGTTTCGTGGGTCAGTAGGTCTTACCAGCCAGGGGTGAGGAATCTCTGGGAGGGGCATCTGAGGCGGGGTCGGCAGACCACTGTGGATCTCAGACTTAAATGATGGTTCTGGAAGAAGGTAGAAATGGTTTCAGTACTGGCTAATAGACAGCAGAGGTAGCAAAGCAAACTTTAATGGGAGGTTTCCAGGAGGAATCCTGATCAGACGCCAGAACTGCCTGAGCTGATTTTGTTCGATGAGGAGGACCTACAGCTCTACCTCAAGCCTTTGCCTAATGCCAAAGCTCCTCAGCTTATCTTTAAGGCTGAGCCTGGCTACTGTAGGCTCAATTCAGTACTGCAGATACTTCTCTGATGTCATCAAGTACAGGGATAGAAGTAAGAAGAAAAAACATTGTTGTGAAGAATGCATTATTTTTTTATGTGATAAATATGGAATTAAAAATTGTATTTATAATGTATTCCAATATGATTGACTTTTTTCTTTCAAAAGACAATACAAGGGTTAAAGAATTGTGAAAAGGGGGTCCTATAAACCCTATAAACTTACCTTTGTCTGAGAGGACTCTGTTCAGGATGTTAGAGAGGTGGGTCTTCTTCTCTCGGACTCCGGCGCTCAGGTACTCCCTGTCCAGCAGATCCAGGAACAGTCGAAGCTCAGACACTAGCTCCTCCATCGCTACAGAACAAAAACACAGTTGTTTTAGCTCTCTTTACAGATACAGACTTTAAGGTCATATTCACAATGGATAGTCCAGTAGAATTGGTTCAACTGGGGACCAAAACTGCAAGATTTGTTTACATTTTCAGTTGGTGCAGTTCACATTCAGACTCTGAACTACTTGCCCTGCCCCCTTGCCTGTGGTGGCGAGAACCAAGAACCACTGAAGGAAACAACATGAAAACCTCTGAAGATGACACTGAGCACAACTTCCTTCTTCACAAAATGTAAACAAACATGGAGAGATGTAGGGCTGCATAACAGGAAAACCGGCGATGTGCGATAACAGTGCTTAACATTGCAATGCCGATATGACTTGCGATAAATGAAAAAATAATTAAATCTGCAGTGTTGATGTCTTTCTGCTCTGGGTCTAGAGCAAAAAAAAAAAAAAAAAACTACAAACCATAATTTCAATTACAACATGACAGAGTGGTTATGATTTATCTCCAGTCCATTTTGTTCATCAGGCTGATGCTGACAAAATACATAAATRCAAACATTACAGCCAACCATTTATTGCAATTTATGCATTTTTGCGATATGCTAATTGCACAGGCTGTTATTGCGATGATGAGAAATTTGCAATATATTTTGCAGCTCTAGAGTGACATTAGATTTTAGTGGTTGTAGGATATATTTTTTGGTTTTTGCAAATATGCCAAACAAATAGTCTTCAACAATGGGTTCAGCATAAGAGAAAGATGAGGCAGAATGGCGGAGAATGTTTTTCATACAAGGCGGCTGAGACAGCTCCACATGAGGCAGCGTTCACCAAGTAGGAACATGTCCAACTTTACAAGGGTAACGTTCAACTTACAGACACCGAACAAGGTTTTAACAAGATAAGAGTAACTTTATTACTATTAATGCTCAGAATGCCGTGTTATAGTCTGCTTCCTGCTTTTGGAGAGTTCTCCGGTCCGCTTGGCATTCACACATGCATTCGAACCGCACCAGAGTTCACTTTTTTTGGCCCAAATTTAGAGTTAGATTACGCATTCACACCTCCCCAAATGAACCGGACTTTCTAGGCAACTGAACTAGACTTCAATTAAAGCAGACAAAACAGGGCTGGTATGAATACAAGCTAAATGAATCAATCATATCAATAAATGTCCTAGCATTCCTTGATGGAATGAATGGACCGCTGCTAACTAAGAAGGCCCCCTAAATTTTTGGCCCACTTATTGTCAAAAATGGGAAGCCTCTTAAAGCTGTGGCCTATAGTAGGGACTCTGGATGATGAGTGCCAATATATAATGATACRTATTTTAATCTCCTTAGAACGCAGAGAAAATGTAGTTGCCAATATGATGCTTAAGTTAGATGSAGCTTTCGGGGATAATACTACATCTCTGTTCAGACTTTTAACTTCCTCATTCCATTTTTTCAGTAACTGGTCATCATAACCTCTATCACTAATGCTAGGTTCAGGTAACACATTTTGAGCATCAAGAGCATCAGGTTTACATGCAAAGTCTATGGTGGATGTGCATCTAGGGGCATTGAGAAGCCTTGCGGTGCATCTAGCGTGTTTATCGCAGCACGTTTTGAAGCGGTAGGTGCGGTTTGAGTGTTTGAAGTGCATGTGGTGCATCCAAAGCAGCCGACGCTGGAGTTGGAAAATCTGAACTTTTGCTGCTSGATGCAGTGTAATCAATCAATCAGAGAGACTCTGCTATGTGACGTGGTGACGACAGGATGGAAGGACCAAGAGCCTGAGTGACATAGTGGTGAAGGAAGACGCCGAAGGATGGAAGAACTCCAGAAGCCACAAATTCACATTCAACAATGGAAGATAAGCTTGTTGTTGCTGTTTGTGGCAGGCCTAAAATTTATGATCAATCAAATGTCCTTTATAGAGACCAAAATAAAAAGGACCTTGCCTGGAAGATTAGTGAAGACGTCAGAATGTTGGGTAAGATGCTCTTCCCCTCGCGCGTCTAGTGAAAGTGTTTGACTTCAAAATTCACTCAAAACATGTTCGTTCTGAACCTAGCTTCAATCTTTCACATAGATCTTTAGCTTGCATGTCAAAAGCTTCCTCAGTATTACAAATTCTTCTAGAAAAATAACTACTGTAATGGAAAAGTGTGTTCCTATCRGTTACTTTTTTATAAACAGTGGTCTTGAGGAGATCTGATTTACTAACAAATACATCTAGAAAGGAAACTGATTCTTTGCCGTATTCTAAGGAAAATTCAAGGAGCAAATCTGAAAGAGCAAATAAAGAAACATAAGGATAACTTACAAGCCAGGGGTAAGTTATCTCCTGGCTGGAAAGTTAGKGGGATAGTCAGGTATGTACCTTATCAGATGCATACATGCCTGACTTTTTTTCTGATTTCAAGAGAATCAAAGCTTTAGGTGATTTACTGCAACCTTCAGGCTGATGTTTGAAACTAAAACAGGAGGTAAACTGTTGAATGCAAAMTGACAAGATGTTTTTATAAATCTCAAGTTTAATTGGTGATTAATGTGATACACACTGAAACTGTCACAATATTTTGTCCTAATGTAGAGTATGTTTCAATGTGTTTAACACACTGAAAATATATAAAACACCCTGACATACATGTGAAACAGAACAGTCAGTCCATTCCAGAACCAACAGAACTTTAGCCAAGCACAGAGACTAGGACTGCAACTAACAATTATTTTAATAATTGATTAATCTATTGATTATTTTTGATTAATCAATTAATCGGCCAAATCATTAAAACACTTAATTACATAAATAGGAGTAGAAAAAATAATTTAATTCTTGTATAAATTAGGGATGCAAGTTATTGATTAATGTGAAGTTGTCTGAAGTTGATTTATCTTATAGAATGACTAACGATTAATTGATAAGCAGCCATTTTCTTAAAAACTAGTTTTCTATTGAATCAAGAGGGTCTTTTCATAAAATGAAGGATTTTTTTAAAATAGTATGCTAAATTAAAAAAAGAAGCACATCATAAATATTTTCACAATTGTCCTGATGCATCTCAATAATCCAGGTAGAAAAAAATCAAAAAGAAAAAAAAATAAGTAGGTCCTCTGGATGGGTTCTTCTTTAGTGAAACGTTTCATTTCTCCTCCAGAGTCTTCTTCAGTTTGATGAGTTTCAGGTGATGGGGTGGGCGTATTGATTTAAGTACTCGATACCAACATGGTACTTTGTATAGAATCGATACCAGCAAAATGGAATCCATGCTTTGCTTTGTTGTAGTTTCCAGTCAGTCAGTCAGTCAGTCAGTCTCTCTCTCACTCTCTCTGTGCCTCTCCCTCCCCTTGCTGTAGCTACATAAGTGGGGAGAGAGGCTTCAGAATCAGAGCAGCAGTGCTCAAAATACCTCAGAAACTCGAACAAATAGGYTTTAACAAGGCTTTAATAAGCTAAACAATAGAGGTACATGAGAAAACGTGTCCATGCCGGCCTCAAACCCTGGTGTCCCACTCTCTGGTCCGACACTCTACCCCGACACTCTACCCATTGCCCCATTGGAAACTTGTTATAAAATGAGCTGCACATTGCATAACAACAACCGTGACGGCTTTTTATACTGAGGAGGTGGAGTCTCACCCGGGGGTTGCTAGGTAAGGGGCTGAACGCAGGTTCCTGTGGGTTGTCGTACGGCTTGTGACGTCACAAAATGACGGAAGTATAAAACTTGTCTTTAATACACATTATAAATACATTTACTTACAGTAAATATGCCCCTGGGTGCATTTTTTTGGTCCTAGGAGTGTTTTTTTAAGAAGTACATACCCAAAGTTGAGTAAAAAAACCTTTAAAAAGGGAATTTTGCATAATAGGTCCCCTTTAAACAAACAAAAACAAAAATGTACTACTTCGGCACAAGTAAATAGTTTTTCAAGGAAACAATTCATAGGTCCAAAGGAAGTTTAAATTTCCCAGCTTTTTAGCAGCATGTAAACGCATCATTTACGCACGAATCTGGGAGCTCTCCGGCAGCGTGAAAACAGTCTAAAAATGATTTGTGCAACCGTAACCAGATCTGTGCGTAAATGTAGTTTTGTCTGTGCGTATTTAAAGACTTGTGTACGTAGGAGCCAGTTTGTGTGTGTACTTATCAGATTTGTGAGGTCGAAGATAAAAAATTTGTGTGTGAAATTTTAATGTTTGTGTAATTTATATTTGTGTGTGTGTACTTTTATTTTGTATTCGTAACTTATTAATATTTGTACGTACATTTAAATACACACTTACAAATACCCGAAGTTACGCACTAAAATTTTTTATTATGGGTTACAAATCATGTTTTACACACACACAAACTTTAATACGCACAGACAAACTTTATTACGCACAGACAAACTTTATTACACCCACACAAACTTAGTCTATTTTCTCTCCATACTAGGGTTGGGCAAAATCATATCGTGTGCAATTAATCGTCAGAAAAACATTAATCGATAAATTTTTGGCACTTGACGATTAATACGATTAATGCCACCAGGCAGACTAACCGCTTGGTGCTCCTCTCTGCTTCAAATATAACAAACATTAAAAAAAGTTGTGTAATTTATTTATCTATCAGCACAATTTAAAGTTTGATGTATAGTCTGAAGTCTGTAATTTTGACACAATTTGGAACAGATTTTTACGAAGAGGCAATTTTCTCCCTGTAAATTGGTCATGTGACCAGGACATAAGGGTGTCCAGGGACTCCAGGGGATTAATCGTCAAATTAATCGTTATCGGCTAAATACCACAATTAATCGTGATTAATTTATTTGCCCATATTGCCCAACCCTACTCCATACGCAATCTCCTTCCTGAGGGAAGCAGAACAAAATGTGTGTGTGCTGGGTGGGAGGGGTCCTTCCTGATGCAGGTGGCCCTCTTCCTGCAT